GTGTGTGTGTGTGTGTGTGTGTGTGTGTGTGTGTGTGTGTGTGTGGAGAGAGAGAGAGGTTCTGACTTGTTAGGCAGATGCTCTACTGCTTGAGCCACGCCCCCAGCCATTCAGTTTGTTTTTAATTTTTGCCTGGGCTAGCCTTGGAATAGCCATCCCCCTCCCCAGACCTCTTGAATAACTAGAATTGCAGGATACACCACCATATCTGCCTTGTTTTTGAGATACAGCTTCCCTGACTTTTGCTTGGACTGGTTTTGGACTGTGAGCCTCCTATCTCTGCCTTATGAGTAGCTAAGATTATAGGTATGACCATCACACCTTGAGTGCTTTTCCTTTTCCCTCCTAGTGCTGGGATTATAGACACAAAGCAACCATGCCCAGCCTGAGAACACTATTGCAATGTGGAGTGGGAGGTATGGTATAGGAAATGAACTAAAGAAATGTTACTACCAATTCAGAGGCCACCTGTCCCCACCTGCCTCACTGACAGTATCTGACCCCTGTTGACTTTAATGTTTTTTCCTTTTTCTTTTTTTGTCGGTCGTGGGGCTTGAACTCTGGGCCTGGGCGCTGTCCCTCAGCTTTTCAGCTCAAAGCTAGCGCTCTACCACTTGAGCCACAGCACCACTTCTGGTGTTCTGGTGATTCATTGGAGATGTATCTTATGGACTTCCTGCCCGGGCTAGCTTTGAACTGAGATCCTCAGATCTCAGCCTCCAGCATGAGCCACCAGCACCTGGCTTTTTTTTTTTTTTTTGGTGCTGGTCCTAGTGTTTACACTCAGAGCCTGGGAGTTAAGTGGTTTTGCTCAAGGCTAGAGCCACAGCTGCACTCCCAGTGTTTTTGGTTTTTAATTAGAGATAAGAGTCTCTTTTTCTTTGACTTTCTTGCCTGGGTGGGCTTTGAACTTTGATCCTTAGATCTCAGTTTCCTGAGATCTAAGGGCCTAGGATTACAGGCCTGAGCACTGCTGCTGGCAACTTTTTTTTTTTTTTAACATATGGTTTCTTTATGCTGTTTAGTCTGGTCTTAAACTTCAGGGCTCAGGGGAGACTCCAACTCCAGCCTCTCAAGTAGCTGTGACAAAACAGCCCATTAAACTTTCATCTCCAAAATAACCAGCAAAAAGCAGGGCTAGTGGCATAGCTCAAGTGGTAGACTGCCAAGCAAGCAAACTGAGAGAGCGTGAGGGTCTGAATTCAAATCCCAGTACCACTAGAAGAAGATTAAAAGATTTTTAAAAAAACAGCCAAGTCTTGCTTATATTGTACAAAGGTGATCTGTGCTTCTTCTTAAAAATTAGACTCGAGAAAAAAATATCAGCTCACTCAACATGAACCTATTTTCTTACCTGAGGGCAGGGATAGATATGCCAGCTGCCCAAGAAGCAGGGATGGCAGTGCTTGCCCCTGGTGTCTCTAATGAGTTGACCCATAGCCCCCAGAGAGCAGATGGGGCTTCCTCTCCTGAGACGGGTCTGCTGCCTCTGGGCTCCATGCAGTCTGTACTTTGTTAGGTGTACTCTCTGGCAGGCCTGGCAGTGCCAAGGGTGGGCTCACTGAGCATCTCTCTTCTTCTTTTTTTTGGTTGGTCGTGGGGCTTGAACTCTGGGCCTGGGCGCTGTCCCTCAGCTCTTCAGCTCAAGGCGAGCGCTCTACCACTTGAGCCACAAAGCCACTTCTGGTTTTCTGGTGTTTCATTGGAGATAAGAGTCTCACAGACTTTCCTGCCTGAGCTGGCTTTGAGCCGTGATCCTCAGATCTCAGCCACCTGAACAGCTAGGATGGCAGGTGTGAGCCACGGGTGCTAGGCTGACTGTAGCCCACCTCTCAGCAGGCGTTTGCCCAGGGCCAGCACAAGGGTGCCTTTCATTAGGGCATTCCTTTCCTGCTTCCTGGTCCTAGAGACATTAGGGGACTGACACTGGTATCACAAAGGCCCATTCCACCCCCCACCTGCCTTCTTCACGGCACCCCAAAGAGAGCAAAGTTACATGACGTGTATCCCCACCTGTGTACCTGTGACTACCTACCGGAAGCATCCGTGTCCGCAGCCCTCTCATGCTTCAAGTCTTTGTCCAGTAGGAGTTGGCTGCTCACTGGGCCGGGTGATCCAGGCCCAGCATTTTTATTTTAATGGCATCACAATCACTTCTAGCTTAGGAGAATCAATAATGCTTTATGGTTGGTGGTTAGGTCTTGGTTAATATTTAGCTCTTGTTTTTAAACACAGTCAGGTCTGCCATGATATGTGTGGGCGAGAACAACCAGATCACTTGGTGGGTGCTGCGTGGCAAGTGTGGGGGTCGTTGGGAGGGGCGGGCGTCGGGGAGCATCTCTCTGGAGATGCTGTTCTCAGCCTGAATAGAGACAGCTGCTTCAGCTAAGATTTGAACCCATACCCCCGCGGCTCCTGCCTAGAGGAACTGCTGGATAAAAATAAAAACATGGGGGGCTGGGAAGATGGCTCAGTGGTAGAGTGCTTACTTAGCATGCATGAAGCCCTGGGTTTGAGTCCTCAGTACCACATGAACCGAAAAAGCCAGAAGTGGCATTGTGGCTCAAGTGATAGAGTGCTAGCCTTGAACGAAAGGAGCTGAGGGACAGTGCCCAGGCCCTGAGTTCAAGCCCCAAGACTGGCAAACACACACACACACACACACACACACTGCCTCAAGGCTGTTCCCAGAATTCACACATTGGAAATGAATTAAACACTCAGGTAAGGGTTTGCTTTGCCGGGACTTTGGGAAATGCAGTGATTGTGAATGGCAAAACTGTGGGAGAGGTTCATGGCGAATTCTAAATCCTGTCTGCTGAGCTCTGGTTGTCAGCTCTTGGGATTGTCTGGGCCAAACACTCACCACACTTCTGGTGATCCCTCCGCCTCTGTCCTTCAGGGCTGCAGCCCCTGCCCTCCTTCCCCGCGTCTTCGTGGAGTGGTCATGATTGGCCTAGGAGCCATGGCTTTCTTCTTTTCTCATCACTGGGATCCCCATGCCTCCCCCTCTACCACAGGCTCACAGAGGCCAAGAATGTCACATGCAGCCCTCGTGCTGTGCCACGGAGAGGATGTCCATTCTGCGTAGACACAGATGTCATCCACAGCCTCACCTTCTCTTCTTTATGGACATGGTTCCAGAAAATTTCACCTCCATGTTTGGTGTCACCAACTCTTTCTATTGCAGAAGCATAGACTACCACATTCAATACAGGCCAGAAAAGGAAAGCTTAGGGAGCTAGAAGAGGAAGGCTAAAAACCTCTTCCTTCCTTCCCTTTCTTCCCTTCCTTCCCTCCCTTTCTCCCTCCCTCCCTCCTTCCCTCCCTTCTTTCTTTCCCTTTTTCTTCTTGATACTGGGGTTTTGTGTTTGATATCCCATGCTTGCCTGCCAAGTACTCTACCACTTGAGCCACACACCCAGGCCTTTTGCTTTCATTTTGTTTTCAGATAAGGTCTTACGCTTTTGCCACCATCAGCATTAGACCAGGATTGTGCTGCCTCCACCTCCAAAATAGTTGGGATTATAGATGTGCACCACTACTCCTGGCTAGTTTTTGACCCGAGAGTCTAACTTGTTTACTCTGTGTGGCCTCCAGCTGCGATCCTCTTATCTCTGCTTCCTGATTCTGCTGGAATTACAGAAGAGCACTACCAGGCCTAGCCCAGGGAAACTGAGATCAGTGAATGAAATGGGCATTCATTATCTATTTTCTTATCACTTTAACCCATCTATATTTTGGGAAAAAAATAAAATATCTCTGATGGTGTGAAGTGCTTGTCACTGCTGTTCTTGAAGAACAGCTCAGAGAGAGGGCAGCGTGGAAATCCTGACACGGGGTGTGTGTGCAGTCAGAGCAGCTGGTGCCGCCACGCCTGTGCAGGACACGGCTCCCCCACGTCATACACTCGTGCACTCTACACTGCATCAGCTGGTGTGTGTGTGTGTGTTGATTGTACAAACAGTATCCTTAGTCTTTTGTAGGCATTGTGATTTTTTTTTTAACCATAAGGTCTTTTACAAAGCCCTTTGAGGAGTTGTTAAATTATATTTCCATTTTCAATCAGAAACCGTGTCTGGCATTAAAAAAAAAAAGAACCAGGCAATTTCATGGTTTCTCATAAAGGTATAATTCATTTGTTTTCACGGTGGGGAGAATAAAATTGTTTCCCTACAAGAATCACAGTCCATTTATTGCCTTTCAGGTTAGTGAGTCTTATCCCCCACCCCCACCTCCATGGTTCCCTAAGAGAAACTAAAGTTATTTGAGAAGGGAAAACTTCAGTCAGACAATAAAGCAGGCTTTGTCTTCATGCGCACAATGAGAGATCACCATAACCGTTGAAGTCTTTTTTGGGGTAAATGAATAACTGATTATATCTGAGGAGAGGAAACTCATGAATTTATGTTCTGGGTTTTTGCCTATCTTTTCTTGTTCACCTTCTTACTTTGACCTAACTTGTAAGGAGAGACAGGTCCTTGTGAGATCCTCCTGTGAGAAGAATACAAACATATCTCACTGTCACAAAAAAAAATTGTTTTACACAAACATGACCATGTGACCACACCACACAGGCTCCTTCCAGGCCTGGCCAAAGACCTGTGGAGTGACATCCCTTTATCAAGCTTTGACTGGCTGTATGGTGAATCCATTTCTTCATGTTCTGTGTTTTGGTGAACATCTATGTTACACACACTTGAATTTGCTACTTATGTACGCAAATACAAACATCCTAGAGAGACTAAGTAGGCACAGACAAGTATAAATATTACTCCGAGCACACTATTACACACCATGTGTAAGCACACATTTACACAGAGAAGTTATTATTATTGTTTTTTCTTTTTCTTTTGTTGGGCGTCAGCAATCGTCAGGGGCTCGTCCAGGCAGGATTTCCTCCTCTTCCAATTTTGAATTGTCCTGCCTGTGTGTAAATGGTCACTTGAAGGGAGAGGTCATGAGAATAAGACATTATCTTTCTCCCATACCAGTCACTCCAGCACTTTTCTCTGAATCACACTGGGATTCTAGAATCCTAGAGGGACGCATGGGAAGAAGGGCCTGGGGAGGATGAGCAGCTCCTCGTCCCAGAGGCAGTAGGCAGAGCTTGCTCTTCTCTGGGCATTTCAGATACTGGTTTGGAGGTCTCCATTGAGGAGGGTCCGCTGGGTCTCCGTGGTCTCATTCAGCCGCGATTTGTCCTGCTTACTGTCACTCCGTTCACCATCGTCGGTGCCACTCACCTTGACCAAGCAGAGAACATTCTGGAAGCTCTTCTTGAAGTTGTCAGATAAGAAGGCATAGAGGATAGGATTGGCACAACTGTTGGCATAGGTGAGGACCACCACAAAGTCAAACATCCCTTTAAGGGCTGGGGTGGGACTGATGGCCACCGAGACAGAGGAGACATTGAAGATGTAGAAGGGAAGCCAGCAGAAAATGAACACAGCCACCACAATGGACACCATCCGGGTCACTTTCTTTTCCGACCTCTTCCTCTTGGAGGATCCCACGCGGATGCCAGAGGACTTCACCTTGATGATGATGAACAGGTAGCAAAGACAGATGATGGTGAGAGGCACCAGGAACCCCAGGATGAACGCGTAGATGATGAACCCCGTGTACCACGCTCCCGATTCACCCGGCCAGTTGATGGTACAGCTGCTGCGCCCCCACTGGTTGCTCCGAAGCCCAGCGTAAATCATGATCGGCAAGATGACCAGTAGAGAGACCCCCCAAACAGCCACATTGATCATCTTGGCTGTCCGGGGCCGCCTCCACTTGGCTGACTTGATGGGGTGAACCACGGCCAGGTAGCGGTCGATGCTCATGACTGTCAAGCAGAAGATGCTAGTGAACTGGTTGATGCCATCCACTGTCATGACGACTCGGCAAATGGCCTTGCCAAAGGGCCAGTGGACCAGGGCCACCTGCATGGCCAGGAAAGGCAGCCCCAGCATGAAAAGCTCGTCAGCGATGGCCAGGTTGAGGATGTAAATGTTGGTGATGGTCTTCATCTTGGCATAGCGCAGAATGACGTAAATGACCAGCGTGTTGCCACACAGCCCAATGATGCAGACCACAAAGTAGATGAACGTGAGCACGGCATTGCTCGTCATGTCGTAGTACGGCTCCGTCTTATTGGAGTAATTGGCTGTTGCCACTGAGCCACTGAGGTCAAACGAAGAGGGCAGCCATCCCTGGCTCCCATTGATGCGCTCACCCAGAATCTCCATGGTTGCTCTGTCGGGCAGTCTAGAACCAAGAGCCCAAAGGTCTGTGCTTACCTCAGTGGTCCCTGGAGGCCCGTGAGCCACGCTGATATCTAGAAAAGGGAAGAGGGGTACATTAGGCCCAGGCTGTTTAAGTTCTCACCTGTTCTGCACATTTTTTTTTTCCTCTTGGATTTATTATTTTTTTTTTTTT